GTGTTGCTGGAAGCTTCTGCCAGGAAGATGATGCCCTGCCCCTTCAACTCCCACCACCTCCAGCCCAGCTATCCCGAGCCATGCCCTGGGTAGTGATCAGATGTTTCTGGCTTTGCTTTTGCAGAAGAATGTGGAAACTTTTCAAACCTAGCAGTGTCCTTCACTAGACCAATATTTAAATTTCCTTTCAGACTCCCCCGCTCTTGATCCCTGAGTCAGAGACATTCCCAAGCACACAGCCAACTGCTGGGCACATCGCCACCTGAGTTCCCTTGGGACTTCTCTTCTGCATCCTGGACTTTTTCCAGCTAGTTTTGTTTTGCTTAAAAATCCATTTCTTCTGCCATGATGCAAAATAGTGAAAAGACAAATCTAACATTTCCTGAGTGAGTTTGGAAGTGGTAGTTTGAGATAGTTTGAGACATCAGGAGCACATTTGTCTCATCGTGGCTGGCAACAGATGAGGCCCTTTCATAGGGAGCTGCCCCAAAGTGTAAGAAGAGGAATCCCATGAGCATCTACTGTTACATCACTTCGGGTACAAAGCTCATTTAGAGTCGTCTAAGAGGCTGTTTGGTCCATTTTAGAATTTTCCCCGACATGCTGTCTGACAGGGGGGGAAAAACCTCATTTATTTGTTCAACAAATATGTATTGGACGTGTACTCATATGAAGATGAAGCGAGGTCTCCACCTCCCAGACCAAACACTTTAGTGAGAGAAAGTCAATGCATGATGAGAATAGAAGGAAAGAAGATGTGGGCTGCCCAGAAAGAGATATCTCACCCAGACTGGAACGGAGTCACACAGGACAGCCGAGGGAAGCATGCGACTGGGGCCCCCTGCCAAGCAAGGGAAGGGTGCATTGGGCAGAGGAACGGCAGGTGCAAAGGCCCAGAGGTATGCAGCAGGGTGCTGGGTGAAGTGTGGTTTATGTCTTGAAGGTGGAACCAGCTGCTGCCCTTCTGTTGACTTCAATAGGAACTAACAAGCCCAAGCCCTGGGGGGTGGGGACATGAATTTCCCAGGGACTCTCGGCCTGGCTCTGCCATGTGAGTTATTGAGAGTCACTGAACACTAAGAAGCAGGCCAGTGCCTGGGGTCTCTAACCATAGGGAGCCAGCTCCCATGAATCCTGCCTCTTCTTATTACTGACTGCAGCACCAAGTCCTAGCCAAGGACTTAGTCTGGTTAGTGGTGCTGACGTATCAACACTGGCAGCCTGAATATCAGGGCTGAGGAGCCGGGCACCTAAGGACAGAAGCTCATCCCGATTCCTACATGGCCCGCATCTGGGAATCAGAAGTGAAGTTGAGCTGCAGCAGGGAACTGGGGGAGCAGGGGGGCCCCTCCTCTGCTGACCCAATGGGGATCGCACACACCTCACTTCTGCAAGCATCAGTAGCCTTGTGCCACACAGCTGGCTGGGTGTGCTTTGCCTCCTTACCACGAGCCCAGTTACTGTTCTTTGTCACAAGCAAAAAGCGACCAATGAAGGGACTTCCCTTCAAGCAAAGGGAATTTATGAGAAAAATGATACATTTTCCCTAAGCACTTCAGAACCTGTGGGAGCTTTGAGCACTAGGTTTGAAGTGGTGAGAAGAGAGAGCCCGTGGGTAGCATTGATTGTGTGCCAGCCCCATCCTGAGCACCTTACAGATACTAACTCACATGAGCCCCACAACCCCCAGTGCACCACTGCCATGATCCCCCTTTCGTGGCTGAGGGAGACAAGTCAAGGAAAGCAACCGACACCCCACCACCACCAAAATCAGTCAGTGAGCCGGGGTCTGAAGCTCCTGACTCTGGAAGCTGGGGGCTAAGAAGCAGTCTGCAGGGCCCATAGGAGTCTCACCAGGAAGCCAGGGAAAAGATGCCTCATTTCCCCAGGCCCCAGTCCCTCGGGTTGAGGAGGGAGTTTCCACTGGCCTAGATGAGGTGTACCTGTCCTCATCAAAGGGGGTCCACTGAGCTTGTGACCCATGGCCTGACGTGGCAGGGCTACCCTAACATTGCTCCCCAAGTGTCTACTGTGAGCTGGTCCCCTTGGGCGAGCACATATGGACAGCTGCCTCCAAGAACTGGGCCCTGAGGGTGGGCTGAATCTGGAGCTGGGGGGAGGGTAGCCTGTGGCTTGGGGGGCCCAGGAGGTGTGGCTACTACCACCTCGTGGCCAGGTGTCTTGGTCCTACCTTTGCCTGCTTCCCCTGTCCACCTCACCCTGCTTCCAGCCCTGTGAGTGTCTCCAAAAACCCAGACATCCCCCTCTTCCCAGGCCTGCTGCTCCTTTTCCCACCGTGAAGGCCTTCAAGGCTCACCACCATGATTTCTGCTGGTCACAGGCACTTGGAGCCTAGCTGATAGTTCAAAGAAGATAGAAAAACAAAGCTGCTCTCTGTAGCCTGGCTGCAGGGCTGCTACGGGCAAGGTGGTTCAGCAGGGTGGGGAGGGACCCGCTGGTCTGCAGGCAGAGGCAGGGAGTGGGGACATCAGAAAGTCTGTACAGTAGGACATGGGCCAGATCACTGGTGGCTGCTGACCAAGAGACATCTGGACCTAGACCCAGAAAGGATTAGCACCTAGAAGCCATGCAAAGCGGTTCCATGTGCAGGACACACAGAGCCATGATTCAAAGCACCCTGGCCTGGTCCTCACCCAGGATGCACTCCCAGCCCTGCCCAGATGGAACCCCCGCTGGGCTTCTGGGCTGCTGAGGGAGATGAGCAAGCAGGCAGGTGTTGGTTTTGCTCAGTGAGAAGACTGTGAACCCAGACTCTGGGTGGGGGAGACCCTGGAGCTACCAATGATGGGCTTGTGATTCAGGTTAGAATCCATTCAACCATAAAGGCAAATCTGCCTGGGAAGAAGCCTCCTCTCCAGGTGTGGAGAAAGAGGTCAGGGAAGCCTGTAGGGAAATCCCTGCACAGCAGTCAGCCCTCACACTGCCCACCAAGGGCCCTCCATTGCCAGCAGTTAGCAACACAGGGTCTTCATCTGCAAAGCATAGGGTCGGGAATCCCTGGGGTGCTTTGCACTTGGCGGTCAGCTCCAGACAGCAGCCAGAGCAGCAGGGGGAAGTCAGGAGGCATCTGCCAGGTGGATACCGTGTCAGCTGGGCTGAGATGGTCCTTTCAGCCAGGCCCTGCTCAAGGCTGAGGTCTCCTTGCCAAGTGGGAAGAGGTCAGCAGGCCCCAGAGAGGGCTGGGGCAGAGTGGAGCTGGGCATCCCTCTCCCTAATGTTTGGGTAGAAGCCACAGGCCAGGCCCTCTAGGAGATGCTCATGGTGGTGAGAGATCTGCTGGGATCTTCCCTACTCAGCATGTGCCTCAAGTGATCTAGTCATTTTGCTTATTATTCACCAGGGATTGGTGGCCTTAAACTCACAGCGATCCTCCTGCCTCAGTCTCCTGAGTTCCGGGATTATAGGAATGCGCCACCACACCTGCCCAGGAAGTGGTTTTTGAGCCTCTACTTCTTACAGGTTTCTGGCTAGAAATGCAAGAGAATCTCCCCTTTGGGCCCTAGAGGTTAGGGGAGGCAGATCCTAATCTTCCCAGTGACCATGGTAGGAAGTGGGGCCTTTGGCAAGCACAGTAAATCTTCAAGTTATGACCAGCCTGACATAACTTGGGTTAATTAAGTTAATGGAAGATTCACCTATTCACCTGCCTCTTGTTTTTTTGTTTGTTTGTTTGTTTGTTTTTGATACTGGGGATTGAACTTGGGACATTGTGTATATAAGGCAGGTGGTGGAACCACTGAGCTAAATCCCCAGCCCAGCCTCTTGTTACCTATAGCATGTACCCAGGTAAACCTTCACATCTCAGCTGTATTGACTTATAACCAACTTGAGTCACAACCAGCCCTTGGGAACCAATCGAGTTCATAAGTGCAGGGTCCACTGTAGTCGGGTTCAGAGGGTGACAGACTGTGGAGTCCCGTGATGGAATTGTGGCCTGCAAAGAAGAAGAAAGAAGAAGAAGGAGGAGGAGGAGGAGGAGGAGGAAGAGGAAGAGGGGAAGAGGAAGAGGAAGAGAACCAGGGCTCCCCTGCTTCCATACACCACCAAGTTCCATGTGAGGACCGGCCCAGGACCAGGGCCCTCACCAAGAGCTCATCCATGCAAGCTCCTTGATCTGGGAGGACTTCACACCCAGGACTGTGAGGAACGAATGGGGTTGTTGAAGCCCCATCTGGAGTGTTCTGCTGCCTCAGTGGGCCCCTGGTTGGTGGGGGCTTTGAGGAGGCACAGATGTTCCTTTCCGGGTGCTGAGAGGCTTCATTTTGAAAATCTCTGCTGTTGAAGATGTTGCCACCTGAGCCTTCTACATACCTGGGTCCTGGACCCACCCAGGATGGAGAGAAAGGCCCTTGTTCCTGATGGGAGCCATGGGCCACTGGTGGCAGTTGAAACTTAAACTAAACAATATTAAAACTCCAGCTGTTCGGTCGGATTAGCCACCCTTCAGAAGCTCAAGGGTCATATGCAAGTAGTGACCACCATGTCGGACAGAGCAGATGCAAAACACTTCTGCCGTCGTCCTGTAGGAGCCTGTTGCCCTTCCAGTGGGCCCCATGGGAGTCCAGTCCCATGCAGGCCCACAGGCTTCTTGTCCCTTCTGTCACATGTGCACCATAGATCTAAAGAGGACTAGTGGAGCTGGGTGGACAGAGCTTGGCTAGGGATTTGGGATATTCCTAAGCACCAGCTGATGAGTGATAAACCTGCCACAGGAAGAGCAGGCCAGCCAGGCCAAGGGCTCTGCAAGCATCAGGAGTGGTGTGCTCCTTACCTCTTTGCAGATCTGGGGTCAGGTAGAAGAGTACAAACCAGTCAGCACCCACCAAACACTGCAGGTATATGTTGTAGGACCATGAGTTGAGAAGACAGCTCACCATGGGACTAGTTCACCCTCTCACGAACACGGGCTTTTAAAATGGAATGCAAGTGTGTGCCTTTCACACCAACTTCCTTCACCAACATGAAATATCTTTTTTCAGGCCCAACTCTCTCAGGCCTTAAATGGAGTTTCGGACAAGGCCAAAGAAGCAAAGGAGTTCCTGGTTCAGCTCAAGAACATCCTCCAGCAGATCCAGGTGAGCATGTGATGGCACTGGGCCAGCTCTGTGTGGTCAGTCTGCAGAACATGCAGACGTGCAGAAGATGGGGGTCTTGGGACAAGTGTTTCCGACAGAGAACGTGAGAGAGTTAACGTGTCCTGCTGTGTACCCTTGGATGCTGAAGGTGCAGTGGCATCCATTGATGTGGACCGTGACACCTGTTGTGGAAGAGGATTTACATGAAGCCAGTTAGAAAAAGTCATGCACCAGAGGGCCAGAGAGATGTGATTGAATGCCGCATGGCCATGCAGTCCTATGTGGTGATATCTGTATAGGGTGTTTTAAACCCAATCATGCCCACGTGACCACTGCATCCAAACATAAACACCTCAATTCCTAAACAAGTGTGTTTGTGGAGTACCTATACTCTGCACTGCACTGAGCCTAGCAAGGGCACAAAGACCAGCAAATTTGGCTTTAAGGAGCCCTGTGTGGAAGGGAGAGGGTGCTCACATGTGTGGACGCTCCAAGACTGTCCATACAGACCAGGAGCCTATAAACCCTCCATGTGTCTGGCTGGAGAAAAGAGACTTAGGTTCCCTGAATTCTTAATCAGCCCATAAAAACTGTTAGTCAGCTTCCCACTACGCTGACAAAGTAGCTGAGATAACCAACTCATAAGGAGGAGAGGTTCACTTTGGCAGTTCCAGTCCACAATCACTTGGCCCCATTGCCTTTGGGCCTGGGGCAGCACAAACATCATGATGAGAGCATGTGGCAGAGGCGGCTGCTCACCTCATGGTGAGTAAGAAACAGAGAGAAAGAGGCTGGAGTTCTAATGACTCCTTCAAGGGCACAGCACCAATGATATAACTTCCTCCCACTAGGCCCCACCTGAAGGTCCCACTGCCTCCCAAAAGCGCCAGCAGGCCAACCCTTCAACACACGAGCCTTTGGGGGACATTCAAGATCCAAACTACAGGCCAGGCATGGTAGTGCACACCTGGAATCCCAGCTACTCAGAAGGCTGAGGCAGGATTGCAACTTGGAGGCTAGCCTGAAAAACTTAGCAAGACTCGTCTCAAAATAAAATTTTAGAAAAGGACTGGGAATGTAGCTCTAGGATAGAATACTATCTACTATGCCCAAGGCCCTAGGTTGACACCTCAGTGCTGAAGAACAAAGAAAAGAAGCATTAAACTACAGAGAAACCCAGGTCAGGTCCCTAACAAGTCAAACTCAGACTTTAGTTAGGAGCATTTAAGTCACAAGCTTTCTGCTGTTTCACAAGTATGAGATGCATTAGTTTGCTTAGGCTGCATCATAGACTATCAGAGATGGAGCAGCTTGAAGAACAAAACTTTATTCTTTCAGTTGTCAGGGCTGGAAGCCCAAGGTCTGGGTTGGTTTCTCCTGAGGCCTCCCTCCCTGACCTGCAGATGGAGTCCCCTCCCCGAGCCCTCATGTGACATCCCTCATCCCTTTTCTAAGAGCACCGCAGTCATACTGGGTCCAGGTCCATCCTCGTGGCCTCATTGTCACTTACTGACCTGTTTAAAGATCTTCTTTCCGTACTGTCACATTCTGAGGTCCTGGGACTGAGGCTTCCCTACAGGCCAGCCCATAGCAAGAGGTCTGAACCTATGCTGATCCTGGACCTGGAGGATTCTTTCTTAACTTCAAGAAAGAAAGGCCTACCTCAAGAACATGATTTTTTGTTGTCGTTGTTTGCTTTACTCGTTTCTGGTTATAAAAAGCAAAAGTATGTATCATAGAAGCTTTGGAAACTGGGTGTGATGACTCACACCTGTAATCCCGGAACTTGGGAGGCTGAGGCAGAAGGATCACTGTGAGTTTGAGGCCAGCCTAAATTACAGAGCAAGATCCTGTCTCAAAAAAAGAAGAAAAATAAGGAGAAGGAGAAGGAGGAAGAGGAGGAGAAGGAGAAGGGGAAAGGGAAGGGGAAGAAGAAAAGGAAAAAGACGTGGGAAAGCAGAGGAAAAGCAGACAGAACTAAGAAAAAGTTCACCAACATCCTACCCATGTCACCATGTTGCTGTGAGTTGTTCCACCAATTTGAGCCCAAATATATACACACTGTGCATAGAATTATGAAGCACACAGCTCATATCCTGCCTGGTTTCCTCCTTTGATTCTTCCTCTTCCTCCTCCTTTCTTGTTTTTCGTTTTTTGAGACATGATCTCACTGTGTATTCCAGGCTGGCCTTGAACTCACTATGTAGCCCAGGTTGGCTTCGAATTTGCAGTGATCCTCCTGTTTCAGCCTCCTGAGTGCTAGGATTTCAGGCATGTTTCTCCACGCCTGGCTCCTTCTTCCTCGGCAGTACTGAGAATGGATCCCAGGGCCTCACGCATGCTAGGCAGGTGGTCTATGGCTGAGCTGTACCCCAGCACTTTTTCCTTCCTAGCACTCTGTCATGAGCACACCCCACAGCACTAACAATGCTCTGTGAGCAGGTGCGCATGACAGCACAGTATTCTGCTGTGCGGATGCAATGGGCCTCACAGGACCCCTCCCAATTCCTATTCTTAAGTCCCCACACACCAGTGCCTGTGTCTCTGAGCCGAGCACCCTCCAAAACACTCTTCTTGATATGTGGTGTGTTAACTATTGTTATTTTACTATTATTTTGTTATGAAAGCTTTTCTTTTCAGTTAAATACAACCAAACTACTCTCCTGCCTATAGCCCTCGGGACCTCAGTGTCTTCTTAACACTCTCTGCTTCCCCCAAGGAAAACGGTCTAGACTATGAGGCCTGTCTGGTGGCTCAGTGTGACGCCCTGGTGGACGCGCTGACCAGGCAGAAGGCCAAGCTGCTTACCAAGGTGACTAAGGAGAGAGAGCACAAGCTGAAGGTAGGCACCCGGTGCTCTCTGCGGAGGGGCTGAGCGAGTGCAGTGGGCAGGCTGGTCCCCATCCATGCTCTGTCTCCAAATGTCATGCTGTAGTGAAGTCAGAAGCCACTCACCTCCCCGGCTCCCGTGTCTGTCAGAGGGGCCCTCTCAGTCTCATCTTGCAGAGCAAGAGTGACCAGAGGCCTTGACCAGGCCTAGCTCGGCTCAGGCCTCCAGCTCTGTCCAGTCTTTGTACAATAACACATGGGGCCAATTTCCACTAGGGGGCAGCGAGCTTTGCCCTTCCCTTACACAGGTGCTTGGGCGAATGCTCAGAACTCTGAACTGAGAAAGGGTTGCCACTGTCCCAGGAGCTCCTCCTTGCAGAGACACTTGTCCCAACCGAATGTGTGCACAGGTGAAGCCACTGAGCCAGAGGAGCCGCCTGTGAACAGAGGAAGGGGAGGAGCTGGCCACCCATGGGGTTCGGATGGTGCCCTTTCTCTGTCCAGAGTGCAGAAGTTTGCGGTGTTGGGATATGGGCCTATTTATTATCCAGTAAAGAGGACACTAGGAGCTCACAAGCAGCAGCACCTCTCCTCATTGCTGCACTAGCACTGGCTCTCAAGGGCCAGCTACTCTTCCCCCGAGGACACAGTCACCCAGAGGAATCCCCCCCGTTGCAGATGGTCTGGGACCAGATCAATCACTGCACGCTGAAGCTGCGCCAGTCCACAGGGCTGATGGAGTACTGTCTGGAGGTGATCAAGGAGAACGACCCCTCGGGCTTCCTGCAGGTGAGCCCCAGCCACTGGAGGGCCACAGCTGGGCTTCTTCCAGCTCCTCCAGAGCCACTCCCCAAACCAGCCCATGCTTGAGGCAGGATCTTGCCCTGGCTTGGAGCCAAGTTATTCTCCTTTGCTCAGTGACCTCAAAAGCTGGCTGCAACCCTAATTTTGCATCATCCATTAAACAGAAAGGTGAAATGGCATCAACGCTAGGAAATGAGCACCATGCTTCAGTATTTTCCTCAGAAATGGGAAAGGACAGTCTGCCAAATAGGCTGGACAGATTGTACAAGAAGTGAGTTAGCAGAATCCACACAGCTCATACCTCAGGGTGCAGAGTCCCGCAGGCTTATGCAGTGACCAGCCTCCCTCAGGACCGGACAGTCTTTGAGGAGTCATTGCTCCAGCCTCAGGCTGACTTGGGGATATGAGGAGCTCAGTCTCTGTTTGTGGGGGAAATGATGGACCCCCTTGATCATTCCCCAGGAAGGGTGCATGAGTGCATGGCATGGTAAGCAAAAAGAGTAGCACCACGGGTGGGATGCAGTTAGAGTTTGCAGCAGAAGCCACAGAATAACTTGGAAGAGACACAGGAGATTGAACGTGGGAGATGCTTTTTTCACACCCTGGGACAAATGACTAGTATGTTTCACTTTGCAAACTACTAGAGTTGGCAAAAACAGATGTGCTTTTGCATATTTTTTTAAAACATCACAAAAGGCTTTGGCCCAATTTCTTTAAAGAGCCAGTGCTTGTTTACATTTTACATAACCAGGCTTCTGAGCTATGATTGAAACAATGCACTGCGTCTTTATGCAGCTAGTACTGTCCAGGCCTCTACAGGGGTCACTTTATCTCCGCTGTGGCTCTCAGAGGCCCCCGAGCCACAGGTGCAGAGCTCTAGCCCTTCCTCAACACCTGTGCACAATTCTTGCAGTTCAGACCCTCACCCTGTGCTTCCCCTCCCCAAGATCTCCGACGCGCTGATCAAGCGTGTGCAGGTGTCCCAGGAGCAGTGGGTCAAAGGTGCCCTGGAGCCGAAGGTGTCTGCAGAGTTTGACCTGACCTTGGACAGTGAGCCGCTGCTGCAGGCCATCCACCAGCTGGACTTCCTTCAGATGAAATGTAGGGGTGAGCCGCGGTTGGCCCCAGTTCAGTCAGGGCATCTTCCCAGAGAAGCATCCAGCCTGAGGGGCACCTTGGTTCTGGTGGGAGCCCGAGATGCCCAGGCCAGCAGAGTGAGGGGTGGGGATGCCAGGTCACAGGCCTGGCTGCAGAGGCTGTGGCCACAGCCCACAGCCAGAGCTGAGCTTCCCCCTTGTAAAGTGGGGTCTACCTGTCATTCAGAAATGCAAGCTGGATCTGGTGGCATGAATCTGTTCTCCCAACACTCTGGGAGGCTGAGACCGGAAATCTCCAAGTTCGAGCCCAGCCTGGGCAACACAGCAATTCAGTGACACTCTGTCTCAAAATACAAAAGGGCTGGGGATGTAGCTCACTATGAAGGCCCTAAACCAAACAAGCAAAACACACAGTGTCCACACACAGGCTAGGCTGGCTATGCCAGGTGCTATGGGTGCAGGGGTAAAAAATCTGCAACCCCTCTGGACTGAGCTTCTAGTCCAGATAAGGCCATCGATCACATGCAAACCGATCAGAATGCAGTGTCGGACAGTAGTAGGAACTACAAATAAAGGGCAGAGCAAGGGGCAGCCAGAGATGTGCGGGTGTAGTTTGAGGTGAGGAGTGGGCAGGAGTAGGAAAAGGAGGAAGAAGAAGGGGGAGAAAGGGAAGGAGAGGGAAGAGTACCTGAGCAGGCAGAGGGATAGGAAGTGCCAAGGCTCTGCGGCAGGAGCAAGGTCTCTGTAACCCTAAAAAAGCACGGAAGTCAGAAGTGAGAACAGAACGAGCAGGTGGGGGACGGCAGGAGCCAGGTTCAGAGAGCCGAGGGGACACACAATGAAAGGTTAAGTGAAGAGTCCACAAACCAGCCTGTTAACAATTAGCAAGTGATAGCCAGAACCAGAGTCCTGTCCTCCAGGCTGCCTCCTAGAGCTGCCAAGGGCGTTTAGTAGGGGAAGCACAGCTATTCTGTCTTCTGAGGATGGGGGAACTGTGAACCAGGATCTGTGCAGATCTGTGAACCCGGAGTCCTGATGGCAGAATGTGTCATGTGGCCATTTTTAACCCATCGGAAAGCAAGTCTCTTGCACACTTCCAGGTCACTTCCACATTTCCCACCCTGTGAGGCTCAGAAGTGCCACCTGCCCCAGGTGCAGGTGAGACAATATTGAGGAGCCGGAGTGGCCTGGTGGGGTGAAGGAGCTGCAGTAAGTGGGGTGCTATGGGGGGAGGCTCAGGGACTGGGGTATTGTTCCTGCCTTGTGGGTCTTGTGGTTCAGAGATGAGAGCAGCAGGGGATGGAAGGGGACCAGAGGGTGAGAGTCTGGCTATGCTGAGAACATGCAGGTGGTCAGATCTCACCTGCAAGACAGTGGCCTCGTTCTTGGAGCCAAATGAAAATAGGCACCTTCTCCAGAGCTGGTCTTATCATTTTACCATGTAAAAAAGGTCGGAGTGTGCTATGCCAGTTCAGAGCTCTCTTGAGCCCGGTGATTAGAGCTAGAACATATAGTGTCTCCCACTGTCAGCTTAGGAGAGCTCAGGGTCCACCTGACAGGAGCCCTATTGCCTGGGTTGGCTGTCGGGTCCTCCAACGCTGCTTCCCTTCTGGAGATCTAGTCCACTGACCTCTTCAAGCTCCCCCCAAAGGTTTAAATGCATCTGTGCATCTTGTATCAGTCAGCTCCACATCCCTGTAACAAATCCCTGAGATAATCTTTGAAGAAAATGGTCTATTTTGGCTGACAGTTTGGGAGGTTCCAGTCCGTGGTTGGTGGGCCCACTGCTTGGCAATGAGGCAGCACATCATGGCCACAGTAAAACCACTCTCCTCGTGGCCAAGAAGCAAAAGAAAAGAGAGGAAGGGGAAGGGGTTGGGGCCCCACAACCCGCTTCAAGGGCACACCCACAATGACCTGATGGCCTCTCACTAACGCTTACCCTTTAAAGTTGCCACCATCCCCAATAATGCTGTACTGGAGACCAATCCTAACCCTAACACATGGGCCTTTGGGGAACACTTATGACCCACAGCATGGCACCCCATTCCCAGCCCCAATCACAAGCCTTGGGCTGCCTCACTTGGTTCCAGTCCCTCCAAGAGAGGGCAGCAGGCATAGTGTAGACTCTGCTGTGTGCTTCGCTCTGGCCTGAGAATCTGTACCAGAGCTCTTGGTGGGCAGGTGGGAAAGAGGAGCACCTTCCTCGGGGCACTGGCTCTGAGCGCAGGGCCCCACCACAGCCCCCTGGATGCAGGACTCCCTCTAGAGCTCCCTGTACTTGCCAGTCTGCCGATGGCCAGGGAGAGAGCTCAGCCACGTCATCCTCAGGGGCCTGTGGGAGCAGGGCACTGGGGGCTGACCCCACGGTCCCTGTCCCAGTGCCACCTGCCCCCCTGCTGCAGCTGGAGAAGTGCTGCACCCGCAACAACAGTGTCACACTGGCCTGGAGGACACCGCCCTTCACCCCCAGCCCTGCCGATGGCTATGTCCTGGAGCTGGATGACGGCGATGGGGGGCAGTTCCGGGTGAGCCCCAAGGGGGTCCTGATGCATGGTGGCTGGGAGGGGAAAGGGATCTTCTGTGGGCCTTCTCTTAACCACGATGCCACCCAAGAACAGGGCCCTGGCCGCAATGACCCATGGGCACAGGCAGCTGTGATTTAGTGAGATTTGTCTCGAAATAAAAAGGGTCGGAGGATGCAGCTCAGTGCAAAGGCCCTGGGTTTTATCCTCGGTACCTCAGTATCCTCGGTGCCAAAAACAACCCAAAAATTATATATATATAAATTTTAGAGGAAGTGAGCCCCTTGGGAATCACCGAATCGCCCGGCCATAGGGAAGCAGGGTGACACAGCTGGAGTCAGGAACAGCAGGCCTCAGGTGGCTGCAGACCTAGGTCTCCCCTGTGGTACGAGAGAAACAAGAGGGGAAGGAGCTCTTCCCCCCAAAAGCAGGAAGGAGAACAGAGGAAGACTGCAAATGCTAGAAGCAGCACCCATGGCCCCTCCTCCTTGAATACTGGCCAAGGACAGGGCTCGTGGGCAGCAGGGTGCAGGGACAGGAGAGGCTTTGGATGCAAATGGCTGGGTTTGAAACGTGGCCCTCACATGCATTAGCTGGGATCTGGGATGAGCTTCTATCTTCTCAGGGTTCTTTGCTTGTGTCCCCAAGCTGTATGGCGATTAGGATGCCTCGTGCAATGAGGGGCACACAGTGAAGACCATTAGCAATGGAGCAAGTGAAGAGCAACACCTGCCTGAGCCGGGTGTGGTGGTGCACGCCTGTGATCCCAGCACTCAGGAGGCTGAGGCAGGAGGATGGCCACAAGTTCAAGGCCAGCCTGGACTACATAGTGAGTTCAGAGCCAGCCTGAACTACAAAGCAAGACCTTGTCTCAAAAACCAAAAAAAAAAAAAAAAAAAAAAAAAAA